TGGAGATCGTTCCAGCTCTGGAGAAGCTCTTAAAAAGGTTTTTGAAAACAGACAGTGTTATTATAATTTTATCATATTTTTGTTCTTGTGATTGATAAGGCTTCCATTCTTCTCTTCTTCCCTCCCTTTTTCCTTTCTCTACCTGTTTGTCCTTCTCTCAACAAGTACTTTAACATGTATTATGATTTCTTACAGGTTGTAGATGTGTCCAAAGGAATTATTAATGCAATTAAGGAACCAGATGCCAGAGGAAAAACTTTTGCCTTTGTTGGGTAAGTTGTTAGAGTTTGACTTTAAAATGAAAGAACCATGATGGTTTAGAACACCATTCATTTCTAATCACGTCTCTAAAAGCTTCATTCATTGCATTTTTATAGTCATTCTTCCACTGCATTTTTCTAGTATGTCTCAGTGAGTTGTCTACAGGCCACCATCATCAGAATCTTCTGTATGCTTATATTAAATCAGAATTTGAGAGATCCTGGGAATTTGCTTTCATAAGTGATTCTTCTGTCACCACAGTCTTAACCACATTTATACTTAGTCCCGTGATCTACAAGGGTGGTTTTGCAGTGTTGGTTTTAGTGTAGATGAGGATTTAAAAGAAAGTCTAAGGCCCTCCCTGGTGGCGCAGCTGGTTAAAGCACAGTACTCAAGTCACAGCCGTTTCTGTGTGAGTTCAGTTCCAGCCCCAGAGGTGACCCTCAGGGCCCGGCAGACCTCTCCTGACCCATCTTCTGCTCCCCTCAGCAGTGTGCTTTGTCGGTCGGCCTGTTCTGCTCCCCACTCTGTCTCTGGTGAATCCTGTCACCGCTCCTGCACCTCTGGCCTGTACCCCAGTTCTGTATGCATAAATAATAAATTTTAAAGAAAAAAAAAACAACAAAGCCTGAAACATTAACAGCACTTTTAGGGAGGAGCATAGTTGCCACGACGGATGAATCTGACTGAGCATTGCAGCGCCCCATGGTTCCAAGTGGTGGACGTAGGTTGCAGTTGCTTGTGCTGATGTGTCTTCACTTTTGCTATATACTCGCAGAGAAATGGGGTCCAGTGAGAGTTAAGCTTGTGACATAGCTGGAATTAGTCAATCTTGTCACAGGTAGGTTTTGCCCTGAATCAGGTTACCTGTGACACCAGTTTTGTTTGTCACCCCAGAGGTGACCCATTGTGCTATATTATCCTTACAAATCTTTCTAGAACTTGACAAAGCTGTTTGAGGGCTTTGATATTTCTCAGTAACATTTTCATGTTGTTTTTGTTTTTAGTGATAATGACAGAATGCCAAATTCTGACTGAATTATCTTCATTCACTCATCTCAGACTTCCTGATGCAAAAAGGATTAGGGAAATGAGTGAAGAGATTTTAAAATATATTATATATAGATAGTTATTTTTTTAATTTTTTTTTTTAAAGATTTTATTTATTTCTACATACAGAACTGGGGTACAGGCCAGAGGCTCATGGGTGGTGAGAGGCTTCACCAGAGACAGAGTGGGGAGCAGAACAGGCAGATGGACAAAGTATACTGCTGAGGGGAGCAGCGGGAGAGTCAGGAGAGGTCTGCCACGCCATGTGGTCACCTCCGGGGCAGGCGGGGATCGAACTCATGCAGAAGTGGCTTTAGCTTCTCAGTGCAGTGCTTTATCCCGCTGCGCCACTAGGAAGGGCCGATAGTAGTTATTTTTAAGCCTAGATTATGCTGAAACAAAACTATCAAGATCAATGGAATAGAACAGAAAATCCAGGAATAGTGTCAAATATATGTATGAATACAGCAGGTGATAATGCGTGGCATTTCAAAATATAGCGTTAGAAAAGGTTTTATATCTTAACTTTTCATCAGCACAAAAATACAGTGCATAAGGTTTAAAAAAAGGCTGTAGACAAAATATATAAATTGTGTCACAGGTGGCTCTACAGGGATTTTCTAAATATAAAACCCAACCAAAACATAAGAAAAATAAAACTTTTGGTGAAATGTTTGAATTTTTCTGTACCACAAAATACTTAAACATTAAAAAGCAAAATAGGAACTATACAAACATTTTCAACTATGTCATTAAAATGAAAAGCAATTTTACAAATCATTACATATAGGAACTTCAGGAGGAAAAAAACTGTAAATGTCAAAAATGTTAGAAGAAAAAATTTCTAGTATGAAAGTAATGCTAGTTAAAATGTTGAGGTACCTTATTTACATGGCTGGGAAATTTTTGTTTGCTAGTTTTTTATAACTAAACTCATTTGGTGAGGGAATTATTAGCATTTTCTGTAAACTGATGTCATCTCTTTGGAAGGCAGTTTGGAAATATTTCATAAAAGCCCTAACATTTCAAAATATACTTTGATTTACTATGGATCTAGAATGTATTATAAAAACATAATTAGGATAAACACAAAAAATTACTACTTTAAGAATATCCATTTTAAGTGTCATTTTATAAAAGAAAATTATGTTTAGAAGCTTAACTATCCCAGAACTGGGAAATCAGTGAAACAGTTTCTGTGCACTGTAACATGCATAACCGTAACATGCTCCAGAACATTCAGTGACAGATTGATGATTGTGGTTTAATGTTATATGAAGGAGATACCACAGAAGAGGACGGGCTGTGTGCTCTTACATTTATAAGGAGTGTGTAAGTGTAAAGGGGGAGACGGAGCCGTAGTAAGTACATGAAGTTTATCTTTGGGGGGATCGAGTGATTTGTGTCCTGGCTGCTAGATTGATTGCAGAACCTGTGTCTCTTTCATAAGAAAAATGCAGTTTTGTTAAATTGAAAAGGGAAAGCTTGGGAGGTACAAATACCTTGAAGAACCCTGACTTTTCTTGTTGTAGGCCAAATCGGTACATCCTTTTCGACCTGGTGCAGTACGTCTTTGCCATGGCTCACAGGCCCTTCCTCCCGTACCCCATGCCCCGTTTCGCCTATCAGTAAGTAAAGTGCATCTTTCTGTGTCTTCTGCAAATGAGCTAACGCAGACCTTCATTTACTATTTGGGCTCTACGGAGTGTGCCCCTTACAGTGAAGTCTCCCGATTGACAGCGACCAGGCTGGGTTAGCTTGGATGGAAAGGCACACGCTGTCGGGCGGGGCGCAGGGAGACGGGGGGATCTTCTTCAAAACACCCAAGCCAGAATGATGCAGTGAGCTCCTGCCCCATCTCAGCCTCTCTCCACGCAGCTCTAGGCTGGCTTGGATTTTGGGGAGAGCAGCTTGGCACTTAGCGTATTTTCCCCTCCTCCTAGGTTGATAGGACGGCTCTTTGAAATGAACCCATTTGAGCCCTGGACAACGAGGGATAAAGTGGAGCGGGTGAGTCCATGGGGTGTTTGCCTGGGCAGCGGTGGGGGAGGCCCATGTGTCTGCTTGCTCGGGCCATTTTCCCTCCTGTCTTTTACTCAGGTCAGCCCTCATGGGAGCCCTGAGGCCCACCCACCCTCCTCGCGCTCCAGGCTGTGCTTCCTCCTTTTTCTCCTCTGATGCCATCCCTGATTCCTTTCTGCTGGGTCATTTCATTAGCATTCAGACCTCCCTGCTTTCCTTAAGGCAAAGTGCCCTCCCCCACGCTCCCAGCTGCCTTGTGTCCCTTTGCATCACTACGCATGAGCGGTGCTGTCTCTACTTGTGCTGTTTCATTGTTTGACCTACTCTGTTCTGGCCTCTGTTCCTGCTTCTCCCCAAGCAATGTTTCTCTCAAGGTCACGGAGGATCTCCATGCTGCCAAACCCAGTAGTTAGCTCCGTGACCAGGTGTCTCTCCATCCGTGAGCAGCCTCGGACAGAGGCCCCTCGCTCCTTGAAGCCCTGAATTCCCATCTCTCTCCTGGTCCTGCTCTCTTGCTTTTCCTCCCTCACTCGGCCCATCCTTTTCAGTCTCCCCTGTTAACGTGCTTCTTCCTTACCTCTGAATGTTGGGAGACCTGAGGACTCCTGTACTGCATGTCCCCAGGAGACCCCAGATCTCCTTCACAGTCTAGAGCTCCGCTGTCATGTCTGGGAGGATTTCCCACAGTCCTGGGACTGGCCTGTAGCCAACAGCATCCACCGTCTAGCCACTGCAGTATGTGGACACGTGAAATGGGGCTCGTGTGACTGTAGGGATACCGTTCAGATTTCACTTCATTGAAATTAGCCAAGCTCAAAGAAAGCCCCTCTTTGGGGTTTGTGGCCCGGTGATGGGGCCGGGCAAGCGGCTGTCACAGCTCGTAGTGTATCCAGCACTGATGTGCCCCTTCTGTTCACACTTGGGAAAGTGCTGCAGAAGCCTCAGTGGGTTTGGATTTGACTGGAACCTGCTTTACAGCACCTGGTAAAGAATTGCAGACTTCTCTGCAGTGTATGCCGCTTCATATGCTTATGGGCCATCTGGGGTGCTGAGAGGTCATTCTCTCCCCTGCATGCGAGGTGGTGTGGTTCATTTAGGTAGATAGTGAGCGCTGGTCAACCAGGTTAAGTGCAGACAAAGTTAAAGAGGTGCAAGAGACAGATGCTAATTGCTCCCAGCAGTTAAACAGGGGAGAGAGCCTGTGCTCAGAGAGTAGACTCAGGGAGAGCTGGGGAGGGGGCCTGTCTGCTTTGGCCCCTCTTTCATTCCTGAACCCTCTCAGGGTTCATTCCTGAACCCTCGGCAGCTACAGCCCTGCCGAGGGGCTTCCCGAATTTGTTTCTGTTTAAACCTTAGATTGGTTCACCTATAGCCAGAGTTCAAGGATGGTGCTGGGGACCTTTTGCTGGTGCTTGGTGACCTGGCCTTTCTCCCCTTACGCCATGTCCTGTCGTGCATTTCGAGTGAATTCCACACTTCCGCATAGCTTTTGAAAATAATAAGTCTGGTAACGGGCCTCCGCCTGCCTCTGTTTAAATGTGTCTCCCTTGGTGTTCCTGGCCAGTTTTCAGTGCTTGCTGTGGTGCTTTGTTTCCTCAAAGGTTCACATCACAGATAAGACCTTGCCTCACCTGCCTGGCTTGGAAGACCTTGGCATTCAGCCAACAGCCCTGGAACTCAAGGCCATTGAGGTGCTGCGGCGTCACCGCACTTACCGCTGGCTGTCGATGGAGATTGAGGATGTGAAGCCGGCCAAGACTGTCAGCACTCAGTGACTGCGCGCGGCCCTTGGTTTTTGGTTGTTGGTTGGGTCACCTGGCCGCTAACAAGTGCTCTTTCGTCAGAGTCCTGTACATAGTGAATCAGATCCTTCCATTAAAGCATCTGAGCTTAAATTCTGTAGCACCTTTTCTTTTTTGAATTATGAACTAAGAAATTCAGCGATTTAGAACTTGAGCATAATTTTCTTCTAATTTATTATTTAACTTTTTCTATACATGTGAAACTTGTTCTCTGAAATGCTAGACATCTTAATTTTTCCTGTTATGCCCCTTCTAACATACAGTCTGGAAGACTTGGACGCCTTGTTAATGTCAAAATGTTGTGAAGACTCCCAAGTGGTAGGTGATTGCCTTTTAATATCCATTAATTGAGAAAATGTAGTTTCCCGTACTAATCTGAGTTTTTCACATGGTATTTTCGTTTAATTTATCGTAATGATATAAACCTACATGTGGAAACAGGACAGACACATCAAGCCTCGTCTGCAGGGGTGGGTTCCCATTCTGCTCAGATCTCAAAAACAACTTCAGTTTTTGTCTCTCAACTTCCCTTTAACACCTCTACACCCATATAAAACCTGGCAGCAGCCCCTTTCACTCATTGTCTTCATGCTGTGCTCCAACACGTAGAACAGTCCTGAGTGCTAGCACTCAAATAGTTGCCAGATGCTTCGGGTAGGAAGATTCTTCCCTTCCTCTTAGGTGAAATTTCTGTCCGACCACAAACATTATTGTTCAGGCAGTAGCACTTTGACTTTTGTAATAAAATCTCAGTTATAATAGGCTCACTTGGTCATTACCATGCCTGTTTAACGTGACAGTTAAAACTGAGGAAACATACAACCCTTATTCTCTCTGTGCCTCAGCTGGGGTCCAGGAAGGTGATGTGGATGGCCGCTTTTCTCAGCTTCACTTAGCTTTGTTCCCAGTTTGCCGCAGAGGTCATCTTCTCTCCAGGAATGGGCCAGGGGGGAGCAGAGTTTGAGAGGAAGGGGCAGTTTGATGGGGTGACAGATAACTGTATGGACCTTCTTGGAAGTAGGTATTTAAAGCTGTATCATGCAGCACTTTCACGAAAGTGCTAAAGGTTCAGGATGGTGATCGAAGCTGTTACATGAGCTAAAAGTATCATTAATAAAACATCACTCATTAACACCTTAGCCTTAGCACAAATGGAAGGATCTACATCTCACTGATAAGGACCCGAACAAGGCTGAATAAGAACAACTAATTTATGGTGGTGCTGTTGGTGTGAGCTGTTGCATGGATATAGAACTAAGAAATTTGAAATAAGAAGTTGCAAGGCAATTTAAAGATTATTGAGTCCCATTTCTGCATTTCATAGTTAAAGAAACTAAAAAGTTAAGAGAAATTCCAACTATAGGGTCTGGGTGGGCAAATACCTGGGACCTGGCAGTCTAGAAATATGACAATAGGAGATAGAAATATGGAGGAATGTTCTCCATGCAGAACTAGAACTTGCCGACCTCTAGAGCTGGTGAAATGGGAGCTGTTTGACAACTCTGTAAACTATAGACTACAGGTCTCAATGCGAAATACTTCTTGGCTGTAGATGTGAATTCTCTGCAGTGGAGCTTGACTGGGCTGCCTTCCCCAGTTTCTCCACCAATGGCACATTCTCATTCCTGTCTTTGAAGTCTGCTTGTGGCAAGCTCTGCAACTCTTGTCGGGCGGGAGAAAAGAGACTTCCTGAAAGATTGGGACCTCTACTGCTAGCTTATGTTATGACCCCCAGCCCCCTTTTTGTGTAATCACAATATCAAAAATATCCTGAGCAACCAGTAGCTTACAACTGGATTGCCTCAGCCGCAGAAAATGGCTGCCTGGCCTGGGCAGGTTTGTGCTGCCCTAGGGCATAAGATTCCTCTGTCTCATGAGACAGAAAGCAAGCCCTGGAGATAAGACCCCAGGCATAAGGACTCATTGGCAGTTTCCTAATGTTTTAATAGGTGTTGCTTAATGGATGGCTGTATAAATTCCTCTTAAATTAGCCTTTCCTTAAACATTCTAACAACTCTGCTAACCTTCAATTAGCCATTAGCCTTTCTTTAGATCATCACTAATGACTGCTAACACAAAATTTATTCTTTTCCAAGACCCCCGTCCTTTGATTTATAGTTAACCATCCATCGACATGACTGTTATCAAAAATGTGTATAATTTAGCATACCGTGAAATGTCAAGAAAGAATGCATTGTTCCCCCTTAAAAAGTTTAGTGGTAAATCCTTAACACTATACCTCACCTTATACAATATTGTAATTAACTACTTGCTGCACAGTATAAATCAAGCCCTGCTGAGAATCAAGCAGGAGACACTTTCACCCAAAATTGACTCCCTTGTCTTCTTCAAGCCTCCTTCCTCGCTGGCAACACTTTCCACCTTCAAAGACCCTGCCCTGCTATTTCTTCAGGCTGGTCCATTACACCTTTGTACTGGCTGTGACACCACTTTCTCCTCAATGAATGAAATGCCATCTTTCACATGGGCTCATTTTCATACTATATCAGAGTTGCTTACTTCAGAGTCACCTTTTCACAAAAGAGACTGATGATGCGGGGGGCCCCACCTGCTCCCTTCTAGGGATTATGTCCAGATGAGGGTTTTGGTCAACTTCACCAGCCCACCAGTATGAAATTTTTTATTTCAAATATTGACAGTGAGACAAGCAAAGTTGGTGTGTCTCTATCTGACCCACTGGCCATGTCTGGTGAGGAAGTCTGGGGCCAAGTAGCACCTATGCCTGTGTCTGTACCTGAAGATCAAGGGTCCCACACACTGGCTGGTCCTGCCTGCAGACGTGCCTAGCATCACTCTATTTCCAGACCAGCTGTGAAGTGCTCAGGTATCAGACCATCAATGGTACACTGCCCGGGTTTTGGCCAGGGTGGTTTACCCTGCAAGTGGGAACTGTGGGGCTGCAGGAAGTAAGGAAAGAGGGATCCTGATTTACAATTTTATTTTTTATTTAATTATTTATTTTTTAAAAGATTTATTTACTTATGCATACAGAACTGGGGTACAGGCCAGAGACTCAGGTGGTGAGAGGCTTCACCAGAGACAGAGTGGGGAACAGAACAGGCAGATCGACGAAGTACACTGCTGAGGGGAGCAGCGGGCGGGTCAGGGTCAGAAGTCTGCCGCGCCATGTGGTCACCTCCGGGGCAGGCGGGAATCGAACTCATGCGGAAGCAGCTTTATATTCTCAGTGCTGTTCTTTAACCCGCGGCGCCACCAGGGAGGACCCTGATTTACAATTTTATCTGAACCTTGTGAGATCATTTAATTCACAAGAAATGTTAGTTGTGAGATTCGTTAACAGGCTGGGCTTGGTGGTTGTTCAAAGAAGTGCTCCAAATGACTTATTTTTTCAATGACAACGGAAGATAAATAACTAGTTTCTTCAAACTAGTTTTTTTTAAATTCAAAAATAACCCCAATCTAAAAATTGCAGCCAAACCACAGATGAACTTAGGAAAACTGGCATGATCGCTGGTGAATAAAATACAGCTTCTGCACTTCTGTCCAGGGTCCCTAAAACTTCATTCACACAAAAATGACTGGCCTATTAAGTTTGCCTAACACCGTACTAGTCTACCTGGCATGTAAAATACACTCATTCATAAATATGATGGGCAAGAGTTAAGCTCACAATGACCTTGAGAGGAAACTATTACCTCCATTTTTCAGACAAGGACTGTCAACTATACATAAACTCTTAGGAGCAAAGTGTGTTTTCTTATGATTTATGCAACATAGTGGACATTGGTATTCAGTAAAATGGGCACTGGTCATCATCCTCTGAATAAAACGTTATTGTTCCATAGGTGGTAGACATTCCCAGTTCAAAATTGCAAAATTTAAGTCTTGGGAATGAGTTATATTCTGACAGTCAAAGATAGGACTAGGTTCTATATCAGATACATTCTTCCTCATTCAACTCCATTTCTTCTCTAGCCTCAAAAACTGGTAGTTGGAAAGAAAATTAGTCAATTAGAATAACTTCTGTTGTTTTCACTATAATAAGCATGTTATTTTATGTGATAGTAAAATCTACAGCAGAATGTTGTTTAAATTACCACAGTTGTCCAATCAGAGGATCTGTGAATTGGGTTTTCTTTCTCATGAATTGACAGTAAGAAATCCTGTTGCATCTGTCAAATATCAAGATACATTTTCAAACTTATTTTTTTTTTTTAAAGAACAAAACAATGTCTACAAAGCATATCCTTTGAAGGCAGGGACTTTGTCTTATTTTTGTGTAGCTCTGGTTATTCTAGATGTATTAGACCTCAACAAATCTTTATTAAACAAAAAAGAGAAAGAAAGACATATTTTCTTTAAGAAAACATTTTGTAGACTCATCACTTCATAATGTCTTACTTATTAATTCTTTTATCCAACATTTACTGAGACAGTGGTCCAGCTCTGTGGTAGGCTATGTTAATCACAGAGGAAGGCACTACTTTCTCTGAGGACCTAATGTCTCAGAGGGAATTTAGGTATGTTGATGCCATCTTGGATAAAACACAGCCAGTTGATGCCATCTCAGAGGTACACGAAAAGCACCTGATGATAGATGGAATGATGGGAAAAACATGATGATGGGAAAAACATGGCAGGTGATGTTTACATGGGGAAGAGTATGTCACACCATTAGAGAATGGAGATGAACATTTTTTTAAAAAGATTTATTTATTCATATAGAACTGGGGTACAGGCCAGAGGTGCAGGGGTGGTGAGAGGATTCACTAAAGACAGAGTGGAGAGCAGAACAGGCAAACTGGCAAAGTACACTGCTGAGAAGAGCAGCAGGTGGGTCAGGAGAGGTCTGCCACGCTATGTAGGTCACCTCTGGGGCAGGGATCAAATTCATGCTGAAGTGGCTTTAGCTTCTTAATGCTGCGCTTTAACCTGCTGTGCCACCAGGGAGGGCCAGAGATGAACATTCCTAACTGGGGAAACAGACAAAGTCACAATGCTGTCCCTCAAATTAAAAAGCTTCTACACAGTGAAAGAAAATACAATCATATTGAGAAGATACCCAACCTAATGGAAAGAGATACTCACACACCACACAACTGACACAAGTT